ATTGTACAGCGATGCAGTATACACAACTTTGCAACTTCAGTGAAACGCCCCGTTGTCGCCGCAAGTGTTCCAGTGCTGTGTACGCTGCTCGAGTCTGGGAAATATGGGTAGTTATTTCCTTTGATGTACTACCGTCGTTGGTCACGCAACTACCCAAGCACGAGAAGCAGCCAACTTCAGCTAACTCCTGACCGTCCAGTTTCAGAACGGGACTAGGTGAAACCCAGTCTTGCAGGTGCAAAGCACATGCCGAACGGAGCGACAGAACTTGCTAGTCTGTCAACTGCGCATTGTGCATCCTCCATAAATTGGAACGGATAAACAATGTCGTCAGCGTACCCTAAATCGTACAGCTTTTCTGCAGCTGATCATCCAATACCAAAATTTTGGAGACCACTAAGTGCGTTCTCTAGTATTTCGTCTCAGACAAAGTTGAAAAGGAATAGCGAAATCGGGCACTCATGACGAACAGAGCTGCTAGTTTCAAACGGCCTACTCAACTCGTCGTAGACCCTTGCGTCACCGGAAGTATGCGAGTAGAGTGACCTCAGGATCTTCACATACTTCTCCAGCATTGCTTCGTGAAAGAGTGAACATTAGCCAGTCCGCTTCTAACCGATAGCTGTTCTGCTCAAATTATTGCTAGAAGCATTGGACATCTAATCACCGACACAGTGTGGATCTATGTATGACACAATTCACGATACCAACAATCAAAATGAACGATTTCCCCTGCAAACGATTCGCTTGGAAATATGATCGGAACAAGAGATGAGCCGCGGGGAAGATTGATAACATGTTATTGTTGTCATCGCATTGTTCACCTGGTGAAGTGTATATTGCGCGCTATGCGAGCGATCAAGGCGTTTGTGCTGAGGGGCGAAAGAAGCTCTCGCGATCCGGAAGCAGCCACATGTCGACACACGCACACAGTGCGAGTGAGCGCACACTTCGTACAAACATTAACGCACTGGGCTTAGACAAGCAGAATGCGCGCGTGTGTGTACGCGTAAGCGTAAACGAATAGGTGAACAGGAACGCGCGCGCGCCCGCACGCACGAACTGGACAAGTAGTACCGGCACATAAACATAGTTGGGTATATAGAACTGCGCGCGCGCGCGTAGAAATCTATCGATTCCGAGGCCCAGTTGACGACCCTGGGCACTGCATTCGATGCCTTGGCATGCAGTTCTCAGCTTGCTGCTACTGCTGCTCCCAGGGGCTAAACCAAGCGAGGGTCGGAAAGCAGTGCGCTCGCGCTCCAGGGCAGTCACAGTATTACCTGAGCGACAGATCAAGCGATCGATTCATAGAAAAAGGCACGTGATGTGCGTGCCCGCACAACCACGGAACACGTGTTGGGCTTTCATTGAATGTGAGCGTGCAATACGGACTGGATGGATGGACTCGAGTTGGACGTGTTCAAGGGGGAATGAAAAAGTGACAGAGATCAAAAGCGCTTAGCACAAAAGAACACGGTTTTGTCGGTATGTCTGACAGGCCAACCGGCACTGGAGAAGCAGCTGGGATTTACGTCGCGGACGGGAACGGTAAAAAGCCAGATAAGATAGGCGTCCGGATATGGAAGAACGCGATGACGCTAATTTATTCCGGGGACGGGCGATAGAGATCGAATTTGTTGAGTGATATGCATGCCAATTAACAATGGTATGCAGCACGAAGTGATTTTATACATATAATTCATAATAAGCGGTACGTGAATAACTCGGCAAAAATTCGCATGGAAGCAAACAACCGGTTTCGCGGTTCTTGCCGCTCATCAGGCGCGCGTATCCGATGCTCTTTTGTCAGTTCATTCATATACCTGTACACATGGAGTGTATTTTTGTCATAATAATTTAATTGATAACAGTGGACAATTTTGGAGAGACAACTCCTTCAGAGCCAGTCCACTGAAAAATCAGTGCTATGATTCGATATGTTATAGATAAATATAGATATTACTAACCGCAACAAACGTGACTTGTCATTCACTTATTATGAATTATTATATTATATTATTATTATATTATAAATTAAAAGTATGGTTTAAGAGAAAATGGAGAATTTTGGTGAACTAAGGTAGTAAAGAAATGGAGATCATGCAGAAGTCTCACTGTTTACGACAATCAGCCATGCCACTCAGTGTCTAAGTATCGATTGTAATGTTCCCGAGGTACCTAACAGGAAAACCTAACGCGAACTATATGACCGAGTATCCTGATTATGGTTTTCATATCCTCATGTCATGTCTTAGTTTGACCATCCTTGGCTTTTTCCACCCATTACCTGAGTCGGCAAAAATCGCGTACCGTGGCAATCTATTTCGTCATCATCATCGTACAGCGAGATACGGAGAAGTGAACTTCGCTGATCGCTGGTGACATGTGCGCCACACTCCCGAA